CAAATATTACCCCCCAACACACACACACACACACACCATAATGACATTAGAAGGGTACTGATTAAATAAAATACTTTGATCATACATTTTAAAATAATAAAAATAGTAATAACTCCATATATGTTGACTTCAAGATAGTTTAAGTGAGAGAAACAAGGACTGCATGATATAGATTAAAAAATAAAACTGCTGTCTAAATTAAAAAAAAAAGTTACTAACATTCATTTTGCATGCTACATGAGTATGTAAGAAGACACTGTTTAGAAAATGTTTATCCCCATGTCAGCTACATTATAGATGCTGAGTTGAGTGGAAGATATTAGAAAGATAAAATTTTATTCTGTTTTTTGGAATTCAAGTATCTGTTCAATTACATGTAAAGAAACTTGGTAATTCTCTCTTATAAGCTAAGTCAGTATTAAGCTTCTAGAGAGAACACTGTAAGCTCACCAGTTCTCAGCCTTGAGTGGTACCAGCTTGTAGGGCTAACAGGGAAAGAGGTAGGGAGTTTAGGATTATTGCAATGACTGGTTATGTAACTGGCATTAGGTGGGCAGAGTCCAGGGATGGTAAATATCCAGTCATGCATGTGACATCTAACGTAAGAACCGGTCTTGCCTAAAACATCGATTGAGCCTCAACTGTGTAGTTTAGATAAGTAAGCAATGCCTGCTCGCCCTGCTATCATTCCCTTGAAAACAGGACATATACAACTGCAAAGCAGTTTGGAAGAGAATTGAAATAACTCTGCATTCACCCTAATTTTGCTGTTTCACTTGTATGCAAAAATTAAACCATTATGAGGCCTTATCACATTATACCAGAACGTTGCAAAACTTGCAAAAGCCAGCACCTGTGTAAAGCAGAAAGCTGTCAGAGAAGGAAAGTGTAGATCTCCGCACTACAATGGTAAGACTGTATCGTGTCAAAGGCAGAAAACTTGCCAAGACCCAAGAAAACAAGGCAGTTCTATGGGGTCCTGGTTTCCTAGGTTTCACCATAATAATGCCTTACTTTTCCAGAGCATTGCATTGAGGGAGAAAGTTTGAAGGGAATAGGAAACAGAAGGTGTGACACCAAAACAAAACCCTAAAAACAGTATGTGAAAACCAGCAGGAGAACTGAACATGGTTCAAGCTGTTAGGTTAGCGGACTTAAGAAATCAGAATGAAAGATGAATGCAGCTTTACTAGAGGGAGGGAGGGCAGGGGAGCTCCTGGTCGAGGTTCCTCATTCTGAACAGGCAGAATGGGGAAGTCACACTTTTGAGGGTATCTGGGAGGGTTTTTATAACAGTCTTTAGGGAAGGAAGGGAGGTATTCCACTGTGATTTATGGTTCTTCTGTTATGCCTGCAAAACTATTCTTATCAGCATTTGAGTTCTTCATTCTCCCTTTTGCATCCCCAACCCCCGGTGAACCTAACAGAAGCAACCGGAAGATCTTCCTTAAGACAAAGCAACTTAAAGGACTCAAGAAAATTTAGAGTACAGGTATTTCAAATATATGGTTTGGGGAAACTGGGAAGCATCTTAAAAGGAAAAATAAATGTTGGATACTTCCTACCTTTTAATCAGAATAAATTCCAGATGTATTCTGGCTGGATCAAGGATACAAATCTGCAAAATAAAACTTTTCTAAATAGTAAAACAGAATTTCAGCAAGTATGTATCATAAACTACCATTTGTGTAAGAAATCTAAATGTTATGTCCTATCAAGCTGCCTGTGACTCATAGCGATCCTATGTACAACAGCCCTAAACCCTGCTCTAGCTTGTGCCAATCTTATTGTCTCTGACACACCTACCCCCATTACCCCAGTCACTGAATCAATCCATCTCATCGAAAGTCTTCCTCTCCTGCGCCGCCCTTCCACCCTCTCTAGCATGATACCCTTCGCATGACATCCTTCTCCAAGGACTGGTCCCCCCTTGCAACGTGTCCAAAGTATGTCAGATGAAGCTTCAGAATCCTTGCCTTCAAGGAGCAGCCTGGTTTCGCCCTCTCTAGGACAAACCTGTTTGTTCTCTTACAAGTCCATTCAAATACTCTTCTTCAACACCACAGCTCACTATTCAAATAAATGTGTAACATGTGAATTAATGTATGTATAGACTAGCTTTGGAAAGATACATATAATACTGGTAACAATGACTGGGGAAAGGGACATAAACTTGAACTTTGCATATTGTTATTAGATGCCATCTAGTGAACACCAGACCTGAGTCCTGAACTATCCTGTGCCAGCCTCATCATCTCCGATACAGTTTGCTGTAGTCCCCATGTCAATCCACCTCACTGGGAGGTCTTCCTCTGTTTTGCTGATTCTCTGCCTTTCCAAACATGGTATCTCTAAGGAAAAGCATCTTCTAGCAACATGGAAAGATGAAGCTTTGTCCTTGATTCCAAGGAGCACTCTGGGTGCAGTTTTCCCAAGTCATAACTGGTTGGTCTTTTCTGGCAGTCCATGGATATTCAGTACTCCTGTTTACCACCAAAACTCAAAGGCATCAATTCTTCTGTCATCCTTACTTACTGTACAGCTCTCAGAAGCATAGTGAGCGATTGAAAAGACCATGGCCTGAATCAGCTGCACCTTAGTCTTAAAACTGACATAACCACTCTCTAATATTTTTGAGAGATTCTGGGCAGAATTCTTGCCCAAAGCAATACCTCCTAATCTCTTGACTGCTGATACTAAAGGTGTTAATTGTGGATCCAAGTAAGATGGAATCATTGAATTTCAATCCTCTCTACATATATATGATGTTGCTTATTGGGCTGGTGGTAACGACCTTTGTTTGTGTGTTTTGTTTTGTTCTGTTTTTATGTTGAGATGTAATCCAGATTGAAGGTTTCTGATCTTCTGCAGCAAGCAGTTTAGGCCCTTCTCATTTTCAGCAAACAAGGTTGTGTCATCTGCATAACACAGATTGTTGATGAGTCTTCGTCCGATCCTTATGCCATATTCTTCACAGAGTCTGGATTCGTGAATTATTTGTTCAGCACACACGTTGAACAATTATGCAGAAAGGAAACATCCCTGATGCAAACCCATTCCGATTTTAAACCATGCAGGATAATGAAAATATTCTATTTTCCACAAAGTCTTTCCATGGCTAACAATAAAATTAGTTGAAATCTTTACATCTCTGCCCTTCAGGTTCTTGAGCATCAGATCATCATCTCCTGTGTGCACCTTACCATCCAGGCTAAGGGCACTGCCTTCCACTTCCCAAATGTGACTCTGTTGTTTTCCTAAACCATATGTTTCAAGATACTTCTTCTGCCAAAAGAACTTTACCTCTCAGTCTGCCCACCTCAATCACTCTTTCCAGTGGGCCAACCTCAGATCCCACCTATCAAAGAACTCTTCTCAAAGAAAGGTGTTAGAAGAGACATAAAATGACATAACCACTGAAGGATCAATTTAAAAAATTATTTATTAAACAAGTTAAACACAACTAAAAGTATATTTAAAAGTTCATCATTGTAGGATTTCTTCTGAAGAAGATTTTGTTTCAGGAAGGAGTATTTTGTCAAAACTTCAGACAAGAAAAATAAAAAAGAAAACATTTAAAAACAAATAATACAGCACATAGAAAATTGAGAACTAAAACCAAAAACACAAGCTTACAAACTGTTCAAGTATGAAAGCAAAACGTTTTGTGTGTGTTTTAAAACACTTCTGGCATATGTTCAAGTGAGGGCCTGTCTGTCCAATTATTAAACAGTATGGAAATACACCAGTTAATAAAGAGTATGTAAACACACCTGCTTTAGAGACTGTCCCTTGTGTTCACCAGAAGAGCAGACAAGAGAATTCTAATTTAAATATCGTGATTTGAGAACAACTGGGGATTTCATAGTGCTGATAAAATTTCAACATCATAGTCACTGAATGGTGCTGGCAAAAAAATAGCCATTCAAGATTTAAAACGGGGGGGAAAGCGGCTTCTGAACATTCCAGTCTTTTAGGGTAAAACAAAAAACATATTTTTATTCATAAATTCTGATGCTTATGTTCCTGAGTACAACATAAAAACCACCATAACAGAGAGGATTACTACAGAAGTCTGTCTTTTCAGTCGTCCACATTGTGTAATATAACATCTCATTGGAAATAGTGACTGCACCACAGGCCTGGGAGGTGCTTTTGTTTAAAACATCATTTTGCTCCATAACATCCCTCAAAGGCCTGAAGACCTAACTGCCTTTGGCAGCGCATACGGAGCGGATGATGTGAACAGACTGCCAGTGGCTTCAGAGGGCCTTATGACAAGACGTTTGCTGTGTGTTTTTAGAGAGAATGGGTGATAGAACTGCAAAGCCATCTAGAAAACACCTTTTCCCAATTAGCTGACAATTGTTTAACAAATGCCAGTTTACAATTTCAATGGACTCTGAAGTTCTAGGAGAGGTGACTCTGCCAGCCCCATCCCCTTCTTCCCTCTTCTTGTTTCGCACCAGGGC